CACCACCACAGCTTTCATTAGGTGATCTTATGGATATTGATGGACTGGTCTTCGGAACAGGATAATATCTAAATGTAAAGAAAATACTCGAAATAAATAAGAGACATAAATTATACATGGCTGACTATCGGATTCACAGCTACCTCTGCACACAAAGTTTAAATGTGGCTGACTACTGGTAGAATTGCTGTTAAAACTATGAAAATTATATAATAAATATCTAGTAAAACAAGAACAATGGACCGAGTCAATTTCAACCAAATCGAATGAAAATCATAAAATTCTTGTAGTCAGCCCCCGAAACATAACCTAATTCACAAAAAAACATGCTTTTCCAAGCATATATTATCACAAAGATTCTATTACAAAGTCCACCCCCCAAAACATAACCTATTTCACAAAAAAAATATGCTTAGCCAAGCATACATCATCACAAAGAATCTATTGCAAAGTCCAAACAAAGCGAAGATTTGAGGTACAACAATAAATAATGAGAAATTCTCACTTGAATACTAGGGCAGGACTGACTAATAGGTAGTTTACGCTAATTGTTTCAGAACAAATAGTGAACCAAATGAATTATCTTGAAACATACTATAACTTGAGTAAATTAGTGATAAGACCACAATGCATGTAGTGCCAAAATAATTTAGGCTATGAATTTTTTTATTAGAAAAAAATTATTGTTTATCTCAAAATTTAGTAAGCTGGCAGATAGAAGCCAGTGGCAGTTGAGTTGTTACATGACTAAATACAAATTCCTGTACCTGTAAGATAGATGAAAATGACCAAAATTGCAATATTATAGCCTCTGCGAAATATTCATACTGCATAGGAAATAGGAATGCTATTTTTATCCCTCTAGGTGACTCTCACAACAGACAGGATTTTAGTCCAAACTCAATGACTTTTCAGTGATGTGTCCCACGATTGGAGTAGGGCTGAGTAGTTAGCATGCTTTAATATCCAAGCTAGGAACCATTCTATATGGTCACTGAACTGATTATTACCATTTGTGAAAGGGGAAATATATTTCTTAAAAATTGTTGAATTTGCAAAATGTTCTGTTATGCACAAATATTCACCTAAGAATTTCCTGAGTTTTTTGTTGAATCTCTACAATTGTGGTACACTCTCGACTCGTCATTCAGACTATATTCATACACCTTTCCCTTGCAATAAAAACATGATCCACATGATTGATGCTCGGTTATTTCTTCTGTGAAATGCGTCCAAAGTCCAACATAGTTTGGAGCAAAGAATAAATTACACTGAGCACAAAAATAGTAGTTTTCTTTCTCATACTTTTTTATGAACTCAGAATCTTCTTTTATAAACCTGGGATGTACCGCGTCAGATTCTGTAAATGTTTCCACTGTGATAAATTCTTCGGTGGCTTCCTTTAACTTTTCCATTTTTCAAATAATATCGATTAAAATGTAGTTTATATTTTCAAAACAAAAACAATAACGTAGACCTCTTCAAAATCAGTATTTATCTCTCTGTGATCTGTGACCTACGTACTAGATGACATAACGTCATACCTCATTACGAAACAGTTCTTCTTCTTTTATTTTAAATGGTCGTTTCTTTTCTGTCGGCATATTTGACCAACCCACAGAGGAAACAAATCAAACTGGGAACAGGCTTCGTTTTGTTTTGAAAAATGCTGTACTCTTCTATTTCATCTTCTTGTAATTTGGAATGTCTGAAATCGGAATGCGCATCAGAATCCATCCCATTACTGACTATCACCCCCAGGCTCGACTCAAGGAAGACCGTTCCTTTACCGCTTCAGGAAGAGCGAGGAATCTGATACATACAAAGAGGCGCCAGTTCCAACTTTACGTTAGCCCGGACGATGATATCCGTCCGGCTTCAGAGGAAGAATTCAGGGGATACATCAAGACCTTCAAGCCTAAGAATAAGGCACTGGAAGTCAACTCAATCACCAATAGGTTGTTGAAGCGGCTACTTGAAAATCTTATTCCTTCCATATCGAACCTCAAATACAGTTCTATCACCCTCGGGTACTTCCCCCGCAGGTGAAAGCATGCCCTGGTCGTCATGATCCCGAAGCAGGGTCAGAACCCGCTGTTCCCCCAGAATCACCGTCCGATTAACATGCTGTTCTCAACGGCTAAGCTGGCTGAACGTGTTATTCTGCAAAGGCTAACTGAAGAAGTCAATGACCAAATGTACTACCTGAGAAACAATTCGGTTTCAACAGGGCACACTCCATCGAACTTTAGACCCTGAGACTGGTCGAAAACTTCATCTCGGAGCTTAACATTGGCAAGAACGTGCACTTAGTCCTCCTCAAATTTTGAAGGCCTTTAGTGGATTTCCACTTGCCTTTTGTGGTCTAATACGGGGTGGATTAGGTGCTTTTTGGAAGGTGGAACATTTCAAGTGAGAGTCGAACGAAGCCCATTTAACGTCAGGGTAATCCAGGCTGGAGTGCCTCAGCAAGTTGTGCTGTCTCCCCTACTGTCTACGAGAGCAACTTTCTTAGATCTGGCCACATAAAAGCCTCCCTATATGCTGTTGAAAGGGCTCTTCTTGCCTCTTCCATGGGTCATGAGTTTGGGATCGTCTACATGCAACATGAATTGGACGAGCTTGAACGCTGTTATATCTGGATTGAAAGATCCAAGTGAATCCAGACTAAACTCAGGCGATACATCTGGAGAGACCGACAGCCATCTTGAGTTCTTTCAGGCTGGAGCCTCGCTCTCTTGCCCTTTGAGCTGGTCTGGGGAGACAACTTTTTTCCGATCAGGAGGATAAGGGAGATCGAATGGCAGCCACGAGTCGAGTACTTGGGTCTAATGGTACATGGTGGTCTTACCACATTGAGAGCATCAAAAATTAGGCACAAATGAGGATAGCTAAACTCTATCCCCTTATTGATAGGAAATCAATCTCAACCTTGAGAACAAGGTGTTATTGTTCAACACGATGTATAAGCCTGTCATCATGTATGCATCAGACTTCAGGATTTGAAGCTGCCTCCCATTCGGCAGTTCATTTAGTCAAGGAACCAGATACAGAAACTCATGAAAACATATTGGTTGGGGAAGCTGTAGATTACGCTACAGACGACCCGTCCGCTTCAGGAGGCCCCGTCACTCAGTGGAGTGAAGACCCCACGACGTCCGTGAAAGATTAATAGTTTCTTCATCAAAGACCCGTCAGGAAGAGGCACACCTTCTATACCTATATCTATAGGAAGGTCTTTCTTGATGACATTAAGGTTTTCATTTTGAATGACATACAATTTTCTGGATATACGTTTCTCGTTCAAGGATAACGATGGCATTCGACCTGACCCTTACACACAATCGTAATAAATTCGAGTTCAATATAATCAGAAAACCCAGCTATACTGAAATTATCACCCCAAGTGATTCTTTCCATCCAGACAGTCATAAATTAGCAACCTACAATTCAATGTTGCACAGAGCATTCTCACTATCTTTGTCTGCTAACAATCTAGCTAGGGAAATTAAAATAATTACTCAGATAGGCCATAATAATGGTTTCAACGCAGACACAATACAAAAGGTAGTCAGAAAACAAAGCCGTAAATTCACTTACAGATTAACATACCTCCAGATCAAACAATCAGAAATCAAGAAATGGGTAATTTGATTTCGGTAAAAGAACAGAGATAATTATGGGTTTCTTCAGAAAAAACAATGTGGAAGTGGCATTCAGACCACATGCCAGGTTATCTGATTTCCTTTTCAATGCCAAAGTGAACAAGTTGGAGAAATGTGGGACAATGTGGTCGAAATTTCGCAAAACAGTATGCTGAACATGAAAGTTTCTTCAGACTAGGTAAAAATGATTCGATGGTTTCAAACCATTCCTTGGGATGCAACCACAAATTCCCAAATCTAAATGATGCGGAAATTTGGCACTATGCAAGGAAGGGTTGCAAACTCAATTATTTGGAATCATTGGAAATTCATAAGTATAAACATTGCGGGTGCAAAATCAATGATGGTGATCAAATCAATCTAGTTTACTCACCGGTTTTCAAATTAACGTATCTACATTGTCACAGGTAAATAAAATTCAGGTACTCAAGTATCTCTGTTATTACCTACAGTGGTACATAAATGGATTGCTGGACACAACTGTCCTTAAAGAACTAGTCTAAGTGAAAATGATGTGAGATGTCATCGTCTTTTCTAAGTTTTTGTTTGCTTACAGCTTGTCAAACTTTAATGTTACGACTAGGTAAGAAATCAAAATCTCTTTTATTCTGGTTTTCACAATACCAATTATGGTCAACATATTCCTATTAGAATTTAAAATGTTGAATGATTTCAATGGTGATATTTTTGGATCTTCAGCATTGAAACTAAAAGCTATATCAGGAATGTTTAAAAAATTTTTGGTCCTACTCCACTTACTCAATAAGGAAGTAGATATGAAAGTTATTTCTGTAGAAATCACTACTAAACAAATTTGAAAGCAATCAACATACAAAATTATTTAGTTTCATTTATAGAAAATACATTTATTGAAAGTAATTCTGAGTAATAAACTAGTTATCTCTATTACATGACTCAGGTAAATTATCACTAGCACTGGGAAATGGTAATCTCATTACTTCACTTTTCCCCAGTGATTAGGAATGTGTTAATTTGAATGGATTTACATCTCAGCAAATTATTTCATTTGCATACATGGCACTACTTTCAAAATTTTTGCTGTTCACTAATCAGTTCTCTTACTTTTGAATGAATGAGCAATTCAATTTTTGAGCTTCATACATGTTATTCATAACAAATTTTAATTGTTTTTTGGAACATTTTATTTTTAGTATGAGTTCAACTGAAATCATTGTATAAATCTTTTAATCTTGTCACTGAACTCCTTTAATAATAAAATGAATGTTTTTACTAAACTTCATAATTTTATATTTATAATACATTCTATTAAAAATATGTGTAATCAATATAACATAAAACACCATTTACAATAATAATTAATATAATGCAAAAACAGAAACATATTTTTGAATGAGAAACATAATACTCCAGGTGAATTAAAAATGAGCATCACCTCATTTCTTCCTCAATAAAAACGGACTAGTAACTTTTGATGTTCAATGACTTTTCACAATTCAATATTATCATATCTTACATTCCAAGAAATTTTGCAAAGAACTCATAATGTCTCAGATATAAGAAGACATAGGTTGACACCTGAGAAGATATATTTTTGATCAGATACAACAGAATCCGTTTTTCACGAGGTCTAGAGGTCAAATTGAAATAACTCATAAATATAATTTTGATGACCTCTGATTAGTCAAAAGCTGTTAAATATCTTTATCTCCTTTGAAAACTGTCAACCTTCCGGTTGATTCTTTTCCATTCCAATCTTTTCCAAAGAATGGAATGGTTATAATTGGCATAATGAGAATAAACATTAATTGTACAAAATAAATTTTTATAACTAGAAAATAATTGCCTGGCTCACAAATTCATCAGCTTTTATTTAACTTGTAGTGAAGAAGTAGTTAAGATATGTATCTGAAAGTAGTTCTAATGCATGAGAGACCTATGAAATTTTCAGATAAGGTATTGTCAATTTTTTATAAGAAAATCTCACTGGTTTGGGTCTGTTCCTAGAAACTATCAGCATCCAATTGATTCATTTGACCAACTATCTTAAAATGTTACAATCAACATAACAAAAGAAGTTATCAAGTAAAACATATCGTTAACAAACAAAAAACAATAACCAATGTTTCAGGAAATTGGGCAATGGTTGTTCCATGGTGATCACACAAAAGTGGAAAAGAATTCAAATTAAAAATACATTTGAATTTCTGTGAAACATTAGATATTCAGTATTTTTGTGACATTGTGAGAGATCCATATTTCGATAGTTACTCTCTCTCATAGGAGAACCTACTTTCTAATAAAGTCCAAACCAATATGATATGCGGCAGCAAATCATTATCGTACAATCAATATTTACACATTAAAATATACTACCTACGAATATTAAAACCATTTGTACCATCAGGTCCCTTGGGCAATCTTATCACATTTGCATCTTCAACAAATCTTAATTTTTGTATTATTCTGCAAAAAAAAACAAATGAGAGGTTTGGCTACATACTCCATGCCTACAAAAAACAATGTCAGAAATATGACTCTACCAGATGAAACACAAAAGTAGACTAAATAATATCGCAAGGGATAGCGGCGTCAAGACTTTATGTATTCGAAATATTCACACTATACTTCATAGTTTACACAAAAAAAGCCTTTCTACGGCTGGCCGTATACAGATTGAAACTTTGTTTCAATACAAATTGTCTGGAACCTAAATGATATCTGTTCTGTTACCTGCACAGTCAAAACTTTTGGTATGAAACATCTTTTTTGACAACTGATCATGTTTTATTGAGTTATGGATGAAGTAGCAGATGTTGCCATACTGTTGCGAGAGTATGGATCCAAGTATGAGTGATACCACCAGAAAGAAAGCACTCCATAAACCAGAAGAGATGGTTGACATCAAAAGGTTGAGTGGCTCTTAATTAATGTTTAGACAAGCAGCACCCAGTATGTCTACATTGGTTATGGTTCGTCTGTAATATGGTGAAAGGTTATGCAATATTGCTAAGCAACATTTTTTGACCTGAGTTCGGCCAGCTTTTATGAAATGCATCACATTTCTTGTCGATTGTTTTTTGCCGTTCTATAATAATAATAAGCAATGAAATAATGTATTTCTAACAAAAAATGTTGAATGTTTGTATGTAAGTGAAAAAGTCCACTAACCGGATCTTACTTGTTCGATTTCTTTATTTGGAGATGTGTTAAAGAAAAGGTCTGCCCCAGCCACTCTTGAAATCTTGAAAGAAAGAATTTCAGATGTATTTATAAGAATAACGTCTCCAAAGTTGCAAAATGTGTTGAGAGAAACAATTGAATGAATAGAAATACTACAGTAACATTTTGTACATTCAATTAATTCAAGTGCCGCGGCTAATAACCTAGCAGTTGATGCCGCAAAAAAAAATCAAGTGCATTGCTGACGTTATTAGTTAATTTTGTTAATCTAGTCATAATTGAACTAATATCATTAGTTCCAACAAAAATCCTTTTCTTTGTGTTTTTCAAAAAATGATTGCCATTTGAAAAACAGACACGAAAATGTATTTTTGTTAATTTGTCTTATTGCTATATGTCATACTGGTCACTAAATCTTTGCAATTGTAATTTTCTGATATCACCTGAGATCTTTGGATTAGTTTAAGTTAGATCATGGTCACCTAGATGCAATATTAAAAAAAGAAGTATTCTTCAAAACTTTCAAAAATGATATTTTCAATAGCAACAGCAGCAAGTCTTTCGCTATACAATAGCTTTCTCAAGCATTATCATACTTGTTTGTAAACTGCCTTGTGAAAATCTCACAATAAAATATTAATTGAATACATGACGGATTTCCAGCAAGTATAGGCAGATTCCATCACATAGACCTATGGATGAAAATTTATCAAAAGTAGATCTGATAGACATCATTTTGACTTCAGATTCGTGATCGTGAACCCAATAATATTTTTCACAACATAAGCTGTGTAACCAAATATTTACCAAGCAATCATAGCCATTACATATCAAAAATAAAAAGTGATACGGAGTAAAATACAAATAAAGTAGCAAATAAAATCTAGGACGAGATAAACATATTGCTTACTTTGTAGATTCGACTGTCTCATCTAGTTTATCTGAGCTGGCTTCTCCCAATATCCTTAGTCTAGCTTCCGCATATTCTTGTTTACGTTGCTGCAAAGTTTTTTTGGGTTGATACACCTTACAATCACTGTTATTCTGTAAATCTTGAGAGGGTCGTTTAAGTATTTTAACAGTTGGTTCTGGAGGCACATATTGGGTTCTTAAGGCATCTTCACCAGTTAGTATAATTTTTAAAGGTTCTTCTAAATTTCCATTACTACTGAAACGGATGAAAACCAGAAGAATGATTGAACTCACAAGTATATTAAACTACCTTTTACTATCTAAGGATCTACTTGATGTTATAAGACCTCCAAACTTTTTATCCAAAACCTAAAAAAAAACTAGTTCACATAACCTTTCCACACATGTGCAATAAATAAAATTGTAAACAGTTACTATAATAGTTGAATATTATATTTCCATAATATTGATCTAAGATAATGATTACATCAGTCTCTTCGATTTCTTCCCAATTTTCCAAAACATCTAACTCTTGCGATTTGGAAGCCATTGCAGGGCCCATTTGTCAAATTTCAAATCGCTATTTGCCATTTCCCTATCCCCACTCTACCTCCAGTTGAATGTTAAGTAGTTCAAATAAACTAGGCGAGTTCTTAAATTCAACAGAAAATTTCTTATGAATTGTGCTAATGTTTCGAATAGACCAATAAATGAATTGATCGGTGGACTGGTCGGTGAATTTGAAAACTGGTCTATTGTTTTTATTTCGGTTTCGATTACAAGGCATTGTGGAGAATTGGAAGCCTCAATTATTGTGAATTTGTTGTTTTGGAATGAAAATAGATTCTTATGAAGCGAAGTATATGATAGAATAACACTTTTTAAAAATAAATGTATGTTCTTTAGGAAAAATGAGGAGTCTGGATGGAGCGATATAATTTCGGTTTATCTATTATATTAAAAGTAGTTTTGCTGTAACCGCCGACGAAAACAGATATAGGATATATAACGATCTTAGGTTAATACCATGACTTCAAAATCCTGTTGTAAGATGTCGAAAATACTGTTCTTTCTAAACTCCCATAATTCTTCAGTCGTACAATTTGTTTTTGCTAGGTTGCTCCTACTGAATCTACCTATCACTTCGGAGTGTTTAGAAATTTGAATTTCTTCTTCACAGTGGACGACTTTCTCTGGATTTATGAAGTCTGCCTAGGTACTTTGTCAAAAATTTTATTAAATGGCTCCCAAGTTTGAAGTAGCGTGAATTAGCGCAAAAGGTAGTGCGCCCGACTTACGATCGAAAGGTGGCGGGTTAAATTTCTTCCTCTACCAGATATTTTTCTTGAGATAATTCATCTAGTTGGAGATGTTATTATTTTGCAACGTTACATGGCTAATAGCACAATACTTCTTAGCCACATGCTAGCTACGTCTGGGTGTTAACATTGAAATACCTACCCAGAACACGTGTCTAAATACCATAGTTGTCGATGCTGGGGACACAAAATGAAAGTTCAAGCTATTTTGTTATGATTTCTATTCAAACTGTTTCTCTTCTCAATTTAATAGTTGACAAAAATTTTAGAAAATATTTTTCTACTATTATTACGCATAAGGATTTCTTAAATGAATGGCATACTTATTTATCTTGTTTTGGTATTTTTCTCAGATTGAAACCTGATCAAAGTCGACCACTTTTAGAACTCGCAGTTCTGTTGAGTGCACAAACTACTTACTCTCTCTCTATAGTAGGTGGTTTGTGGTTGAGTGTTTCGGCCTGAATCTAAACTGTTCGTACTATAGGATGTTCAGGTTTTTAGTTTGGTCCTCGAGTTTTTTCAGCATCGGCTCACCAATGGAGTCAATCTAATTTTGGATGATGATTGTAGGGGTTTGTGAGGTTCTTGTTGGGCTTAGGAATATTAATGACCGTGGCCTTCTTGAGTGACTACGCAAATATTGCAGTCGAAGTATGGTGTTAATGTCAGATTTTCCTTCCTAAATAGAACTTTTAGTGCCTTCTGAATATATTTCTGACTTCCTCCGGAATTGTGGGGTTGTGCGTTCTCCCTTCGCTGTTATCTGATTCTGTGCACCGTCTGTTCGACCTGTTCGATATTCACCATCTCTTCGGTTAAGATGACAGGCATAATTCTTTTCAGTTTGTTTTTTGGAATTGTCGGCAATTGCTTCGGTTTTTTCCTGATCGGCGTGGACGTACCCTATTCTCTTTGTTCTCTGCATTCAATTTTGGGATAGTGGTTGGGGTGTTCGGTGTTGAGGTTGAACTCATTATGATTGTCGGGAAACATGTGGTTCTTGATGGGTTTGAGGATCATGATGGCCGTGGTCTCCAAGGAAAAATACAGGAAGTGTTGAAGTCAGAATATGGTGTTGATGATATTCTCCATAACCGTTATTCCACCTCTGACAATATCTCTGTGTTTCTCCGCCGATGTGGTGCTTATAGTTTAAGCGACGTCTTTTCGCTGTCGTTTGATTCTGCGTACCGTCTGTTCGACCTGTTGCTCGATGTTTTGCACCTCGTCGGTAAAAAAGACACCATCGCTGTAGATGATACCCTAGTTTTGGCGGCACTTCCTCAGAAGTTTCTGGATTTTCCATACAAATTGGTCTTCGATGTTGAATTTTGTCTATCGGGTTGTCTAATGTCAGTTTCGGAGGGTTTGCAGTTTTTGCTGCAGAATACTGTTTGCTCTGTGCATACATCGCTTGGCCATTGAAGCGAATGTCCGTTAGCATCGTCTCTTCAGACGTTTTCTGATTTTGTTGATATTGAAGTGCGAGGCTGGACTTCCCGTGGGTTTCACGCCATGGATTACTGGACCGCTTGTTGCAGTCGTGTCGTAGCGTCCTCCAGGTCCATCATCGTGTCGAGTATTTTGAGATCATTGTCCACTATAGGATAGTATATGTTGGATTCTTTGGGGGATGCTCGCATGGTCTTGGTCTCTCCGGTTTTCATTCATACGACTTTGCATTGAAATCACCCAATGGCCACTTTTAGGCGGAGTTCTGGGAACATTTCTGCTATGTCAGATCTCTTCAAGTTTCCCTGAATGGGTTGGTACACCAAGTAGATCCAAGGCGTCCGTGACGCCTTATGTTTAGTCTAACGGCGACTGCTTCAACTGTTTGGAGTTTCGGTTTTTGTCTTCGTGCTGTACTATATCGATCCTCGCTAGGAAGAAAGCACTTCCGATAGCCACTTGGCTTGGCACACCCACCCTATAAAAGTTGAAAACCCAAGTGCGTAGATCTTGGCTTGACTTTCTGGATTGTCTTAACGTTGATGGGAAGACAGCAGTCCTATTAGCTTGTCTTTGCGACTTGTGACGGGTTGTTCATTGTCGGTTTCTGTCTGCCAACTATGCGTATATACACCTTTTGTCTATTAGAAGTGTTTTTTGGTATATTTATAATTCTCATGAGATTAATCATATCTAGTGAGCATTTATAGGCGATTTCTTAATTTCAACAGAAAATTTCTGAAGGATTGCTACAACCGATAGAAACGCGTTAACTTTTTAATGGACCAATAGATGAATCCATCGGATTCTTTGTCGAATCATTGATGAATTGAAGAATATGTCTCATGTCAAAATCCCGAGAACCACATGAACTTTTATATTTTACTGTGTCTTTACTCTTCAATAAAAATTTTAGTATCCATGAAAAGGTGCCTTAAGCTTTGTAAGTTTTCTACAATCTATTGGCAGCCTATAGAAGTAAACACCTTCTATTCTATACTGTGCCATTGGAGTTTTGCTCTTTTGCTGTCGCTTGTCATTTGAACTTGAACAGTTGTCAAAATGGCGGAAAAGAAGAAAGGCAAGAGGAAGAAAGATGTAAGTTTTCAGAAGTACCTAATAAGAAATTTAAAAACAATTTAAAGATGATAATTTTCAGTTGAAACTATTATACCCTAATATATATTGAATAATGAAAGCTGCTGATAATAATATATAATAAATATGTTTTGTGTGGTGACGTTTTTATAATTATTTCTTTACACAATGAAATAAATGATTTATTAACTTTTTTGTAGCTACAGAAAAAATTACTCAATACTTATGTGTATATTTAAACAAAAAATTATCAAAAACAATTTTATTTAGGGTGTTTTTAGGATTTGCTGGTTTATAATATCATTATATATTAATTTTGTTTGCAGGACTACGTTCAACCNAGTTTCGAATAGAACATGTAAAATATTAAAGATGAAAATATGATAGCTTTCTGGAAATAGTTCTTTAATTGAAATCAAACAGAAATAACATTAGATAAAAATATATTTAAAATTCATAACCACAAAAAAGTTGATATTGTTGAAAAAATCAAACAAATTTCAACTTCAAGGAACTTGTAAGTATCAAAAACTTTTCACAAGAAATGGACTCATAAATATCAAGCTGCTGGAATACCTGAAATTTGAAAAATAAATTAATAGTTAATTAGATAAACAATACTCTCATTGCTAATATACGGTGAGGACGTAAATAGTCCACCTTTCCTATTAATTTTTGAACAGGACAGGATAAAATTTACGTAAAAAGGTTATCATTTAACGCTATGGAATGTTTCTGCAGCAAACAACTAAATACAGCATAAGATACTTTAGGATATATAATTAAAATTAAAACTTGTTACTACCTTATATAAACAACTATCAACTTAAATTATTCGATGATTGTTTGAAACTACTATAAGAGACACCAAAAATACTGATGTTTTAGGGTTTAGGTGCTTTAGGGTTCTTTCCAAGGTGAACCACCTGAACTTTCCTGGTGTCCTTCTCATCTTTAATTTTTTCACTTAGTTCTCTGAATGATGAATCTTTAACATTGTAGAACATGATGTTGTTTGACCTCAATTGTCGCTCATTCAATTCTTCAAACATATATTTAAATGGGATATTTAATGGTCCTTGATTTTTTAGTGATTAAACATCCGATTTCCGTGCCTTTATACGATTGTCTTTGTCTATTATCAAGGACTCATATGCAATCTTTAGCTGTTTAACTTCAAATTGCAATTCTTTCTTCATCTTTTTCAGTACAGGTATTTGTAATGAACCATTTTCGCAATCATCACAAAAAAACTTGAGCTTTCTGTCACCAGCAAGTTGCAGACATCTCACCTCTGTAGAAGTAACATTGCACATATAAGATTAAGCAGCCATCGCACCCGAATACATTTTTATCATAGAATGCATCTTTCTTACACTTTTAATACTTGCTCATTCTAAAAGCTGATTATCATTATTATTGTTGATTTTCTCTAAATCTATTTATTTCATGAGTAATTCTATATAATAACTTTCAAAATCTGCCATGATACCTTAAAGCAAATGGATTTTGACCTTATAGTTGGCCCTTATTTTTAATTAGATAAAAAAAAAACAAATTTTGAGTATCTTTGAACGAGTTATTGTGAAAATTCAACAAAATCTTCATTTATATATAAGTATTTCAAAAAGTATTAGACAATATTTATTGATTGATATTATCAATCAATATTTATTGATTGATATTATTGAAGGTTAAAGAAGCATTATTTTTTTCCAATGATATATTCTTACCTTCAAATTTTCGTAAATATTGGTAGATGTTGGCTCTATTATTGAACAGGGATGGCCTATAAGGTGTGATCTGAATAGCCTTATTAATGAGGTTTAGTGCTTCAGTCAATTTACCATTTTCTGCTAGCTGAATTGCCTGAATTTCCAATTTTTTGGATTCTTCTACTTCAGAGGTTGAATCTTCTTTATCTGAAGAAAAAAGTAATATATGAAATTATTTCTTAGGCTGAAGGTTCTAGAGCTGTTGATGCTCTATTGGAATCAACATTTGCAACAAATGAGGATCCACTTTTCAAATCCAGAGAGGAAATATGTGATTATCTTCACATAATGCTGACACATAAGTTTTTTCATAGAGCACGTAAAGTTCCAGTTGATGAACAAGAATTGAAAAGCAAGAAAGGAAAGAAGAAAGAAAAAGAGAAGAAGGACTCAGGTGATGAGGAGAAAAAAGAAAAAGATAAAGGAACAGATGCTGAAAGTAGTGTTGTTGAGGGAAACAAAGAACAAAAAGTAGGTTTCATAATCTCACAACGGTTATTTATGAAGAAAAGTCTGAAACTTTTAAGTTGATATTATTATTGTTATATTATTTTCTTTATATATTTATTCATACTCTAGAATGTAGGTATGTATATTTTAGCCAGAAAAAGAAAAGCGCAAGAAAAAAATCAGATTGGAAATGCATAATGATCAAAGATTTGTTGACACTTTAGATGCTTATGTTTGGATATACGATCCTATTCCCTTCCATTATTGGATAATTGGTACTTTATTGGTGTTGGGTGCTATAGGAGTCTGCCTCTTTCCATTATGGCCTCCATCTGTAAGGTAGGATTTCAGATTCCTAGCTAGCATTATTACTTGATATAAAGTAACAATCATTTACATACATACATGATACGAAAACCAACAACTTAGGAATTCAACCAAAAATAGTTTTAAAGCCAAAGAATTTGATTTTAATTCTGCTGAATGATTAAGTGAAATTTAAAAGAGTTTTTGATTGAATATACTTCATTCAACCTGAAGGAAATGAATAAAGAAAGTTGAGAACTTTTTGTGTTGAAGAATTGTTTCAAATGTATCATTTATGTTTATTTTTAAAAATCATGGAATTCTTTATTTCTCTGCAAGTTTTGTAGATTATTAGATTATGAAGTATATGGGCTGGATACTCCATTGATATTGTTGATTTTCAAGAATTCTTTTGTATTTGGTCATACACAATGGTCAGTGACTTGACAATAATAATGAAATAATTACAGAAAAAATTGACTCTTGAATACCTATATAAAGGAATGTACATCTTAGTAGATATCTCGATATAGGTGTACGAATGTTGGAATAGTGTTTTTTAAACCTGGGGAAGAGTGGTCTTCGTTTTATTTTGTGTGTTATGATCGTGTTTAATTATTTGTTTCATTCTTGCTGAAGTTATATTTAACATTCAGTCAAAAAATATAGTTTTTTCAGTTGTTAGATTGGTAAACATACTTTCAGTATTCTAAAGTCGTATGCTATTGACTATAATTTCTTAATCATGTATTCAACATGCTGGTCTCATCTGATATGTATATCAATAATCATCCTATGGATTTCAATATTGTTGAGTAGGAGATATGCTTGACATGTTATGAAAGGCATATAGAGTGTAACTAACAAACGGTCAAAGTGGTTAGTTAATACAACGAAATTCTTGTACAATTTTTTTCCATATTCTTTCCATGTTTCCCCCTTATACAATATCGCGGAATCATCAGTATATCCAATAATATCGCCCCTATACTCAAGTGAAAATATACTGTTGATATAAAAGTTAAATGAAATAGGGCCTAATTCAGATGTAGTAATGCATTTTCAATTTTTTTTTGATTGCTTAGTGTCCTGTTCATTTTCACTATTTGCTTTCTTTGTGTCGAGTATTAAGCAGTTATATCATTTATATAGAGAGGTAACAAAATTGGTCATAACACAAAACTTTGTGGAAATCGTCTCATTATGATCTTTTCAGACAAGGAATTACCATTTCCGAACTGCATTCTTAAGCTACCCCCCTCACACCATTATAAGAAAGCTTCTGCGTTAGTATTTTATGACTCACACAGTCGAATGCTTTGAAGAAGTCACAAAACACTGTAGCAGCCATCTTCTCATTATTTAAGCTGTGGTACAGTTTGTCTTGAGAGCTGAAAAATGGCGTCCAGTTTGAAAGCCAAATTGATTTGCAGTCAAAACTGTATACTTTTTGATGAATGATATAATGTTCACTTTTACAAGTTTTTCGGTAATTTAAATGTACATAGAAAAGAGATTGGTTGAAAGTTTGACGGATTTCCTATATCACCTTCCTTGCGTACTGGTAACACCTCAGCAGTTTTGAGAGGATCTGGAAATATTCCTGTTTCAAAGGATTGTTCATGATTTTACAAATATTTCCATTAGTTCATTGGAAAGATTGTACAAGATTTTTTATGTCAGATATAATTCCCTTTATTGTTTCACGAAATTATACGGTAGAAGTAGAAGAGAATGTGGTGGCCATGATAGAAAAAGATCCAGATCTACTTGAAAAATTGCAAATTATTGAAATGTAAGTAACGGGACGATTTGGAACATTCTTAGAGCCTATTTGTTGTACCCATACCACATACGAGTTCAGGCACTTCTTCCTACAGATTTTCTTCCACATATTGCATTCTGTCAATGACTTTTGCGCACATTGGTGCAAATCCCCCAATACTGGTGCTTATTCTTTTTACCGATGAAGTCATTTTCTCAAGAAATGCCCTAAGGAATTTCCTCAATAACCATGTTTGGGCTGAAGAAAATCCACACGAGGTGCTTGAAGATCGCTTTCAACATCAGTTCTCATTAAACATTTGTAGGTGACTTCCTTATTGAGCCAGTATTTCTGCCAGAAAGACAGACATACCTGCGAGGTATACCGTAACTTTTTGGAACAAACGCTACCTCAGTTTCTGGAGGATGTACCATTGGTTACAAGAAATGCAATGTGGTTTATGCACGATGGTGCACCAGCGCATTTTAGCATATTGGCTCGAGAGTTTTTAACAGTAACATACGGAGATCGCTGGACTGGTAAAAGTGGACCTCACTTATGGCCTGCTCGATTACCGGACTTGAACCCCCTGGATTATTTCCTATGGGGCCTCGTAAAATCATTAGTTTATACTACTCCAGTGGAAGATTTGAGAAATCGGATATGATGTGAATTCATATGATCTACTTCTAATATTTCCATTGACGTTGCATCTGGATGATAAAATTTCCTGCATATAACATAACCTTTGGTCAAGATATGATGTTTTCATTTTCAATAGTTTTCACAATATCTACAAAAAATGAAGTCAAAAAAAATAGTTTTTATACAAAATTTTTGTTTCTAGGTTAGGGGTGTATTATCTGAGCGTGGCCGCAGCAGGATTTTTGGTATCAATTATAATTTTAGCGGTTATTCGGCTCATAATATTTTGTTTGATATGGATACTGACTATGGGTAAACATCACTTGTGGATCTTACCAAATTTGACAGAAGATGTTGGATTCTTTGCATCATTTTGGCCCCTTTATACAGTAAGTAATTGAAAGTTTGAAGTGATTACTGTTTTCTTATTCATTTCTTTTTTTTAGTACCAGTATAAAGGTGACAAAACCAGTAAAAAGGGGAAGAAGAAAAAGAAAGATAAGGATTCTGATGCAGAAGAAGAAGGTGAAGAACTTAAAGACAGATCTGACAAAGAGTCTGTACCTTCCAATTCAGGAGTTGTTGAAGTTGACGAGTAAGAATTTGTCTTATAAACTTAATATTATTATTTCTAAAATTGGAATCAATTTACTTTAATCAATTTATTTCAAAATTCAAAAATATATCATCGACTTCATGTTGACGCACTGACGAGTGGCCAAATAGCCCGAAACCGTACTGCTAGTGTCTTCCAAGAATTAAAAATCAATTTCAGCAGTTGTATTGCCAACAGTATATGCAGAAATTACTTCTGTGAAGAATCCTACACTGACACCTGTCTGATATAATCCTACGCCCTCCGTGGTATTAGCCACGGTGTCAGTCCATATGCCTACTTTGTTGGTAAGGACTTAACGAATTGTTCTTTTGAATAATTTATTATTATAAAAAGATTTAGTTCCCAAGAAACATACATGCGTGGAAAAAACAGTTATTCAAATCATTACTAAGTGCAAACAAAACAAAAAAAGACAATGCTGATGATGATTAAAAAAACATCTTACACATAAATATGCACATCAGAGTTTTGAACTACAAATACTTCATTTTTATTCCTTTTAGATTGCCTGAATATTTTATTGAATGGTTGTGTGTTGATCACGATCAATTTTGAAAGTAAGATTTGAAGTTGTTATATATGAATAATTCTTGTATAAAGATTATAGTCACTAAGAAAGTGAAATTAAATGTAGCAAATCAAATGATCACTTCAAAAAAAATTTAGTTGAATATCCTAAGTTGAAATACACTCATAAATTCGTTTCTTCTTTTTATATTTACGTTCATTTTTCCTTGTGAGTTTCAATCATGAAATGTTATCATTACATGTTAACAAGTTTAGTTATGTATATTGGGGTTTCTATATTAATGAATAAATTTCTTTTAGTTTCTTTATAAATAATGCTGTTATTGACGGTATTTGCTGGTTGATAAAATTATTTAATCTTATAAGTTCCAACAAACTTCCATTGTCTAAAAAGGCGTTTCCAGATTTGAAATCAATGGAAGAACAAATAAAATGACATCGGATATTGACTGTCATCACCCAAAGAATATTGTGGATACTAACAATTGAAATGTCGTGAAGTATTTTTCCTTTTGCATATTTTTCCTAATTGCTTATTCATTTTGGACTATTTTTTTGATTTGACTGACCAACTCATCCGGTAATTTTTAGTATATTAGATTATTTTTAACGAAAGAAAGTTTTTTGGCTTTTTACTACTCCAAAAAACTTTCTTTCCCAAAAATTAATCACTCCTAACAATATAACCCCTTCAATTCATTATTTTTAACATTTCATCATTTTCATTATATTTGTTCCATTGATTTCAAATCTGTTAACACTTTCAAGGCAATGAAATTTGAACTAACATTCACCAAGAAACATGTCAACTACTGTCAAATCAACGAATAATTTATCAATAACAAAACATCTTATAGGAAATGCTTGGCTAATCTGGACACATTTGAATACAAATTATTATTCCTCTCGGTTAGATGAATATTTTATCTGTAAAGCATAAGTGTATTTGTGTTTTGGACTTATAACTTGAATACTGAATCAATTAAATAAAGAATGGATTCATTAATTGTTTTGTTCCATAATTCCTTCACTACTTTATTTTTTAAAATCTCACTTTTTCAGAACTGCTGCTGGTACAGTAAATGATCAAAGTCCAGTAGATAATTTGAATGCATCGGAGAGCGAAAGCGAATCCAGTCAGAGGTCAAGTACAGGAAAAGATTTCGAAATGGTAGACCAAGAAGATTTGGAATCTTAAGGTCATCTCTCGATGAATCAGAGTATAGTTTGAATTTTCTTAACTTTGCACATTTAAATTATGGTAAGGAGTACCTTCCTGAATAGTTGTGCTACATTAAAATAGTTGTCCATTTATTTTCATAAAAATGGGTCTCTATAAAAGTGGTGATCTTCCCTTCTTAGTATAATTTATATTTATTTTTTACAGTGTGGTTTTTTGTAAATAGTTTGAATAAACAATAGAGAGGTATTGTAGTTTTAGAATCATTTAATATTGGGCTTAGGAATGCATTTTATTTTTCTTGAATATCTTTAAGTTTTGTTGGTTCAATACCTCACAAATGAGATTAGGGTCACTGGATTTTATCATATTTATATATCTTTTTTCTGATTGGTGCTAATAAAATATTTCAAATGTTTGCTATGAAGTCATTTATTATCAATTGTTGCATTTAATAGTTGTATTATTCCCACATGATATATTCTACATAATAAATATATTGTACATATTACTAGTTCCATGTGTCCATCACTTGCCTTAACATTTGGTTGCACAGTGCTGCATACGGATTCAGTTCGATGAGCTGAAAAGTAAGATAGTATAATGGATTTTCAATACGCAAAAAAAATATATTACAAAAAATTATGTGTGTCTACTCACTAACATAAAACAAATACAGATTAAAGTAATATAAAAGTGAGTATAAATATAGTTTATAAAGTGGTTGTTTGTTAGGGCATTTCATTTTCAGGCAAGTTTTTTTCCTACCTAAAAATGTGATACCTACTGTATACTGATGATGGGCCAAAAGCCCGAAACAAGTGTCTATGGTTTGCCACTTTCTTGAGTGCTATGTCCGAATAATAACTTCTATTTCTATATCAAGACACTCAATAACTTTCATCTTTGTATAATTTCCTGGACCCGGATGTCACGCAGATAGCTATTGCTGCCTCCGTGGTGATTTTGATAGTTTTCTTGTAAACACAAGATCTATCAACTGAAACCACAAATGTGCGGTTGGCTCCTGTTGGTGGCTCCGTGCATTTGTATTTCTATCTTTTG